TCGTAATTTTGCTGCACAGGTCAAATTTTTTTACAAAATGGACACTTCTGGAGATCTGTGGAAAACGTTACAGCCGTTCGCATACGGTGGTGTGTCAGGTATGATCGCCACCTCGTGCATTCAGCCTGTTGATCTCATCAAGGTCCGACTGCAGCTTACAGGGGAGGGTGGCGCTGTGAAGAGTAGCAATCCCTTCACCATGGGAGCACAAATCGTCCGAAACGACGGTGTTCTCTCATTATACAGAGGTATGTGATCGGGTCAGAGCAAGTGGTGAGCAAGTAGTCTACGATTCATAGTGCCTGGGAATAGTCTGATATGTAGAACAGCACGCACGGTTGTGGTACTTGTCCATTCTATTGTCTTATCTTTAGCATTCCAGTGAATTTTGATTCCTCTGGCCTTTGTTACGCCCGCAAGTTGTGCACCACTGTAGGAGTGAGACCGGATTTTTAAAATTATAATGAAATGGATTAGATGTATTTGGTTTCATACGATTTAAAAAGAAGTGCAGTGACCCTTAGTCGAAATGTGTAAATGCCACCTGCATTGAAATCAGTAATCGTCAGCAGCAGCTGCAAATCTAATTTAGAATTATGGTATCAAGTACCGATCTTCGTATTCCAACTGAAGTGTCTACTACCTGTACTTGCTAATAGTATCGAATTATAATTCCTTAATTATTTTCTTGTGGTACAGTATAAGGGAAATACTTGTATAAGCTCATATATATATATATACGTATACAGAGTCAGCGTAGGTTAACAAATATTCGACCCGGAAGTTTGTTAGTATATTGGCATCAGTTTGATCTACGTATGTGTTTGTCGATACTGACATTATTACATTTCCAACGCTTTCCACTCTAGGGAAATTAACAAGGGCATTACATTATCAACACGCCTCATAAACCCATGCATTTTTAGCAGTTGCAATTTGAGCAAATTATTGACGTTCGATTGCAATCTCACTCTATTTGATTACAGGACTGTCCGCCGGACTGCTTCGTCAGGCTACCTACACAACTGCACGCATGGGCATCTTCAAGACACTCACAGAGAAGGTCAAAGGCCCTGATGGTAAGATATCCTTTGCACAGCGTGTGGCGTGTAGTCTCACAGCCGGAGGTCTAGGTGCGACCATCGGCAACCCATGTGATCTGGCTCTAATCCGAATGCAGGCCGATTCCACACTACCTGCTGCCGAGCGCCGTGGCTACAAAAACGTCTTCGACGCGTTAGCGTATGTTGTATAGTTTGTGAGTGGCAGTGTGCAGTGACTTGTGTTTCTGGATTCTGATGGTCTTATTCTCACCATGTGATGTTATCTGTGCGTTGAGTATATTGTTGTTGATAGTATTCTTGCTCACTTCGTCGCAGCTCGATTTTGCTTCTGTGTTTTTAAAAGAATTTCTTGGCTAGTGCATGTTTGTAGCGTTTTTAGGCAGTATCGTAGATCTTAATGGTGAAAGGATTCGTGCAGGAGTTAAACGGTAACAAAATTGCTTTTAATGCTCATTTACCCTTACCTATAGATGCACGTGATCCCGTATAATTTTGAATGTGATTGAGATTCTATCATCAATCCGCTGTATTTTTATTGATCCCTTCGACATTGAATCAATTTGTTTTTGGGAGGTTTGTATCAGCAGTGTCTACACATGCGAAAGCATATAGATACATGTATGCTTGTTTGCGAATTTGCAGTATACATTTATGCATACAATTGCGCACGACATACCCACAATATATTTGGCCGGATGACACGTGGTTAAACGGGATGCAGCTAAGTTAAGTGCTGTGAGAAGAATTTCTGGCTCTCGCATCGATTGTTGTCACATTGGCTGATGTCAATAATTGTCTTGAGTCCAGTACCTGCAATTATCACGACCAAATCTGCGTTGTATTTCCCGTGTGTCAACACACCGCTTATATTTTCCATTTAAATCAACCCACATTGCAGAAGCACTCGCTTATCGATTTCTTACTCCCGCATCTTCTACACACAGTAAGATCGCGAAGGATGACGGTATTCTGGGATGGTGGAGAGGCTGTCTACCCACTGTTGCGCGTGCTATGGCCCTCAACTGTGGTATGCTTGCCACTTACGATCAGTCCAAGGAGACCATGACTAGCCTCATGGGTCCCGGAAAGGCCACTAACTTTGCCTCCTCAGCGGTTGCCGGGTTCTTTGCGTCCTTCTTCTCGTTGCCGTTCGACTTTGTCAAGACGCGTATGCAGAAGATGAAGGCCAGGCCTGACGGTACCATGCCGTACAAGAACACTTTAGATTGCTTTGCTAAGGGTATGTAGCTGTGTACACATTCGTGTTTTCTCTGCATACATACTGTTACTTGAATGCGATTGGTATCCGGGTGATGCCCCGTCCGAACAACAAGGGTTAACGGACATATCGCCCAACTATGCACTTAGGGTTTTGGATCGCCCAACTAAATGCTGTTCTATGTTATATACAATATCAGGTATCACACAAGATGTTTCGCATCGTGTAGCGGCTGGGGTTATAGCTGTTGCCTTGTGCACTACGTATTAGTGCGAGTACTGTGTGTGGTCGCCTCGCCTCGCTTAAACGTGCTGTGCTAATCCATCATTCCCTTCTATCCCAAACGCAGTTGCCAAGACAGAGGGTCCCTTTGCCTTCTACAATGGGTTCATGACCTACTACTTCCGTATTGCACCCCATGCTATGATCACGCTGCTGGCCGTCGAGACTCTGCGCACACAATTCGGAGATGCCCACACGAAATAAGTATATGTACATACATTGTAATTTAGGTACAGACCTCATATGAGAGCGAATGAAATAAAGTTCACCTCGAATGTAAGCCTGTCGGTTCTGGTTGCTTGATATATTCGTAAACGAATTGAATATTGCCAGTAAAATAAGACGCGCTTCGAAAGACAGTCCTCATAGTTCTTGGAATAGCGATGACCGCCTAGGCGCAGTGTAGCTCACAGAACAATAATCATATCACGATAAACAAGTGGGGTGCTTTTAACTCAATAAAGCAATCTCCAGGTGTAGCTCACAGAACGACAATCATGTCACGATAAACAGGTGGTGTGCTTTTGACTCAATAATGCAATCTCCAGGTGCAACTCACAGAACAACAATCATGTCACGATAAACAGGTGGTATGCTTTTAACTCATCAATGCAATGTCCGTACTCCTCGCGCACGTTTGATCCGTGGAACACACATTTGTCATCCAAGTATCGACGAAGGGTCACTATGAAGAGTATTTATTTGTGTAATATAAGACAGACTTGAGCTGTATTTTCACGTGTACATTATGAGCATCTAGTATGTACACAAATATAGATTCAAGTCCGACGTATTTCGAGTTTTCTCACACACAAGGAAAAGCTCTTCAATGAGTTTTATGGCACAATTCCACTGTACCGACAAAAATAAATTCGTGCGATCAAGTGGCCAAGGTGTATCCCTTATCTACCAAATCCCAATCGTTGATGAATATTGAACGTTTATAGCACACCTGTATATAAAAGGAAAGCTACGTAGTTCAGTGATCGGTGGCTAAAAATCGCGAGAAAAAAAAGGCTCACATTGAAATCCATTGAAATCGGTAATAAACCTGAGGAGAAATATTCTAAAGACGGCAGTTTATGCTGTTTAATATGAGACAAGAATTGGAATCAGTCTTCATGATCGTTTTTGAATGTGATGAGGCATGACAATGTCGTGAGTCTCAGACATCTTATGAGGAGATGTACGTGCGCATATAAAAGCGGTAAATGATGTGTTCAAAATAGCACTATTCGCGTATTAGCTCATATCCCATTCTTCCCAGTCAAATGCAACGGGTTGTAGTGGACACACAAGACCGGGAACATAGTGTGATCAATTGACACTGTTGAGTCATGTAGAGGCTCTATACTTGAATATCGAATCTGTGTTCATGAAGCTCGTCTATACATGAACTTAAATATTACTCTTCTGTATTCGATCAATTTTTTATATTTGTTTGGTTTATTGCTTTCAAATGCTGATGCTCACAATTCTGGCGAAATCTCAGGCTCTGCATGAACACCGACTGTTATTAGCTTGTGGGTGTATATCTCACGTAGTATTATGTAAAGCCAAGAAAAAGAAACTGTAAATTATAGTGACTTAACATTATGTGATTTCAGATGATAGTTCAGACCAGACTGCTGTGTAAAGCCTTTGCCACAGCCAGGAAAGTCACACACATAAGGGCGTTCCCCAGTATGCACACGCATATGTACCCTCAGAACGGAGTGAGTTGTAAACTTCTTTTCACAACCAGGATGCTCGCAAGAGTAGGGACGTTCTCCAGTATGCCCACGCATATGTACCCTCAGACCGGTGTGATTTGTAAACTTCCTTCCACAACCAGGATGTTCGCAAGAGTAGGGGCGTTCTCCAGTATGCACACGCAAATGTTCTTTCAATTGGCTGCTGATTTTAAACTTTTTTCCGCAACCAGGATGTTCGCAAGAGTAAGGGCGTTCCCCAGTATGCACACGCATATGAACACGTAGGGCACTAGGGAAAGCACAAGCAAAAACACAAGAAGGCCACTCGCATTTATATGCCAATCCGTCAGTATTGGGCTTTGTTCCAAAAGTGCGGAGCGAGCTCAGGTGTGCTGGAATGTTCCTGTATATTTGAGTTAACAAGCATTAAGATTGGTCTTTTGGTGCTTTTCTGTGTTTTGTAAGGTGCTGTAGTACTCTAAATGCAGCTCGAGGTAAAGATATAGTAGACTTTCGATATGAGTTGGGGGGGGGGGGGGGGGGGTTAGCTAAAGTCGAACAATCTGAAAGGTTATTGAGCGTGCTCAGAGTTGCAACACGTAGTTTTTTTTGGGAACAACAAAGTCATAGGGCGAGTGTTTGGCCATAAGAATACGATCAACGACACAGTTGATCGTGAGAGTATAGGGAAGTCATTCGAACATGCAATCATAAAGCGTACGCGGTATTGCTTATATATAT